TTGGTTGTAATTCCTCGTTGATTATTTCGCACACCGGAGCGAAATTATTATTAATAATAATGAGTGAGAATTCACCTGTTAAAGTAGGGTGGTTCTCGTGTATTTGCGAGCTGTTGTTATCACTATTTAATATGTTATAATTGTTTTAAAAAAAAATGTTATGGTAATATAATATAATATGTGTTTACACAATTGAAAATACAGATATACTTAAAATTCCTCAAACTACAAAAAATCTTTGTGATACAGCAATGGATGATCCGTTAGTTCTTTTCGAAAGATGTATCCTTGAGATCGTCCAGCAAGAGAATAGGACTAACGTTTTTTGAAACTGGCCCAGCAAGGGATTCACTAAAACGGTGCTAAGAGTGGGGGTGGGGACAACAACCGCTTCGGAAAATTCTGGAAGAATTAACGCGCGTATTTCGAATATACGTTAAAGAATCTACGATAGGAAACGAAGGACAATTTCTATTTTTTTTGTTTATTTAAAATGCAATATATTAATAGTTTTCAAATAAAAATCTATTAGACGTAATGGTGTACAATTTTATGGGACATTCACTGTATGCAATAGAAAGATGCTTTTCTTAATCTGTACAGTTTATTAGTATTTAGTATTTTATTATAGTATATTTTTATTCATTTATATATATAAAAATATAAAAAATATATATATAGTATTTATTTATATATATTTATTATTATATATACTTAATATTTTATTATAGTATATTTATTCATTTATATATATAGTATTTATTTATTACTGCTTTTTATATATACAGATCGACAAAAGTTCTACAATTTATTAAACACTTATTTATACACGATTATTATAAGTGCTGTCTGTTTTATACCGAAAAATCAATCCCGTGTAACGCCGGTTTTATTGAATGAGCTGTCTGTGATATTTTTCGACAATTCATATTTTCGTAACTCACACAGATTTTCCATTAATATATATTTGCAAGCCCCTCTCTTGTTTTTTCCAATTGAACAACTTAAACGTGTCAAATATTTCAAATCATAATTTCCAGAAATCTCTACGCGGAAAAGGAAATTATTTTCCGAATAGCTAAATGTACGTATCGCGTATGATCTCTATCTAAAAATATTCAATATGCGTTATTAATTTTCAACATATTTTGTTACAAAGTACATTTGATATGTTATAAATGCTTGCTTTTATTATTGCTGCAAACCTGACTCACACTACACAGATCCAATTCCATTTAAATATTTCGAAATATAACGTAAAACTTCGTACTGTAAATTTTCTATCATTTGCCTGATAAAAAAGAATATAACATTTTTTAATAATTTGGAAAATAAATTTTCCAAACATGAAGTGCATAAGTTCATGCCATTTTTAAAATTCATACTCACGCTAAGATTTCGTTAAATTTTCGTGCAATTACAATTGGCGATATTCTAGAAAAAATTAATTTTGAAAACACATCGATTGAAGAATAATGAAACAATGAATTTTACTTTTGGAATATGACATGCATTAATGTTTCATTTCTTTTTATTGAAATGTGCTTTTCTTCCTGCTACAGTACCCTGAAAACGTTCAAATTGATTTTATTATAAACAAATATTGTATATTGTACGATTCAAATTTAATGAGAAATATAAACACTTGTGCAAATATAATAAAATGAAAAAATAATTTATAATATAATACATACAAACCTTATATACAAAAGAATCAATCGCGAAACATAAAATATGGTCAAAAATAAACAAAATACGAACGATTTATTAGAATATTTTGTATCAATTAATAATACAATTAATTTATCTCAAAATTTAATTATATCTTCTTAATTTATCTAAATAATTTCATTAAAAAATTATTTGATAAAAAAATGTTACTCATATAATTTACTGTAGGTACACTTTTTTTTTTTAAAAAGAACACCTGCATGACAATTCAAAGACAAAAGAAAAGCTTCGTCGTTCCGTGAATTAATACTTTTAACACTCTTAAAACCCATAAAATATTATAGAATTTAATGAAAAATATAAATTCATATAAATTCATGTAAATCATATGAAACCCAATAAAATCCTATTTCATAAAATCTTCAAAACATTTGATTTCAATAACGTTCACAAATTAATATTAGTTGAGAAAACGAACATCTTCTTTTATTTTTGTATCCCCTCAAAAGCAATCTTTCATCAGACTAATATATTTCAGATGAAGGCAGTTATTATAGTAATCAAGCAGCTTTATTTAACTCGTACGTCTACGTGCTAGTTCAGATAAAATAAGCAAAGATAATTTCTACTGGCACTCATAAAATCTTTTACTTATAATCGTGGAATAATAATTCATAGTGAATTCAACTAATATGAAAAAAAAAATTGATTAATATTAAAAAAAGTGTTAGAAAAATACTTGAATTTCAAATTACAATTATACAGACACATGAGAAATATTTGAAGATTTATTTATTACACTCGATATATATAAATTTTATTTTTCAGATTTATACTTACTAAATAAGATTGTTAAAAGTTCCAATAGAATCATAAGATACACGTGAATTCAATTCTAAATGTTATCCTGGTATCAAGAAGAAGTAATAAATCAGATAGAGACAATTATAAAGATTAAATCGAAGACTATAATCTCCTCACGAATGATCTATTTTGCACGGAGCTCAGCAACGTACAAGCACAAATATTAGAAGACAATTGGTTCGCAAATTTGTCCAAGTAAATTAATTTAGAATATCGATCTAGTACGCCAACAATCCACCGATCATTGCGATTAAATGTTTCATACGACAATCTACAACGAATTTGATTCGTGTAATCAACGATCATACGTTGTAAATAACTTACAGTAATCTAAGTTAATAGATTGAAAAATTATTTAGTTTATTTATTTAAATTTTTTCTTTGGTACTTTCTTATCTTTATATTTCTTTCAGTTATATATGAAACTTTACTCAAATGACTCACCTATAAGTTATTATGCGAAATGAAACGACGGTATAATAATTTTCGACTAATAATAAATTATACTTTTAAGTTTATTTCATTTATTTTTATTATTTAAAAAGTTATGTGCATTTTTTGTGCATAGACAACGGGAAATTGTATTATTTGTTCAAATATTATTTTCTAGGAATCTACTTTCATGTAGAGAGCTGGTGAATGGTTAAATAATTATTAGAATTTTTGCACACAGAAATTTGAGTAGTATAGTTTGCTAATATTTAACCTTACTCTAAACCTAAAATCATTTTAAATTATTACAACAGAAATTTCAGACGTGATTTAGAACCGTTTTGTATTTCGATCTATTAAGAAGTTTCTTTTGTGAAAATCAAAATGAGAATGAAATTATGTGCTGTTTACAAAGAGTATGTGAATATGAGTGTAAAAATTATTTTTTCAAATTTCCTTCTAGCAAATTTTGATTTGAAACATGCACCCCCCACGTTTAAATCGTCCAGTTGAAAGAGATGATACTGGCGAATACTAATCGCATAACAAAGTGAGAAATAACCGAAAAGTTGAATTTATCAAATTTAATAATTTATGATTATCATGTAAACGCGTTGAATTCTAAATATGAATACATCATTTTTTATTTTCCATTRAAAAAAAACCAAAATTACTTTCCGAACAACTTAATATATTTTCTTGAATATTAATTTGTTGGGTTTAATATTCCGTGTATAGTTTATAATCATGAAATATCGGTCATATTACTTCTAACGTTATAATTTATATATTGAATTGTATATTATTMTAATAAACGATTGGTTGATTCGAAAAAATTTGTTCAAATGAGTTCCAAGAATTAAAAATAGTACTTATTGTTTAGGTAAATGGCGATTACAAAGGAAAAGCCTTCTAAAAGTTAATTAAAAAAGAGAATTATTTTATAAAAATATATTTTTTATTTATAAAAATTAATATAGTTATCTTGATATCTACTAGAAGCAATACATTTGCGTATACAATGAATGAATGAATGAAATAAATAAGAGACGAGCTACTTATTTTACGTACATTGAGAATCTAAAGATTTATCTAACATTCTCTATCGCATTTTTGTTTAGCTTTTTGTTGAAGCTTTCGACATCATACCATGTATCCAATGTAAAGAGAACAAAATATTAATATAAACAGTACATTAACGATTAATAATAATTCATCTACTATTAAAATAATAATATTACATGCAATTTGACATGCATTTTTTTTCCTCGTTTATATAACATCATACAAGATAATGTATCCGAGTTTTTTCGATTGATATGAGAAAAATGAATGCACTTGGTGAGAGTTTGATTTAATATTCGTTTAAAAATAAAACATAGAAAAACATTGAAGAAAAAAAAAAAAGGTTTATTGATAAAATAATTTTGATTGGAATTTTAGAAAATTCGGATGGTAATAATAGTAATAATAAAAAGAGAAAAAAAAGAAAAAAGATTGCCAATAAAACTTGCTACAATCATTTTTAAGCTCATTATCGAATCATCGCGTGTGATATGAAAGAAAATTATTTTTCCTTTTTTGCTATTTATACAAGTAATTAATTACATGGATACATTAGATTCGATATAACAATAATACGAGAATGATGTTTTATTTATATCTTTCTTATTATATTGTAACATATTTACCTATATATGTATATATATATGTATATATATAACCTATATATAAATATATATATACATATACGTAGGTAAATTTATTTTCCTCTTGCAATTGGTATTATTAAAATGCTCGGTTGTAGATTTCAATAAGATTTATACATTTAATCTAACTAATAATCATACGAGATTATCAAGAAGGCTGTTTCCTTACCCCTTAGGAATTTCTTATGGTCCATCAATTTTTTATAAGTTTCTGAAATGATCGTAAAAAGAAAAAAAAAACAATGTTGTTAACGTAGAATAAATAAATACAAAATATATATCTTGTTTCTTCTATTATATATATATATATATATGAGATTTTTACTAACCACTTAGGTTTTCTCCTCCAATTGCAGACATACCACAAATTTTAACTAATGGAATTTTCGGAAAGTATTTTTCAAATACACTTGCTTCATAGTAATAAAATTTTTCACCTCGACTATCAGAAGTAAACATAAAAGCAACCGAGTGTTTTCTCAATTGTACACCCAAGGAGAAGATTTTAAATCTATATGAAATCCTGTTATTATTCTTATGGTATGGCCCTAAAGCCAAATACCAAGATTCCATATTCCTACCACTCAGTAAAATAGAAATGAAATTCATGTTGTCTTGACACGGACGTATAGTAGTATTACTATCACAAATTGATATCTGATGTAACATACCACCCCACACATTAACTTTTTTGGTTGGATACCTATGCACAAAATAATACAACCGAACTAGAAATATTTACAAATATACATAATAATAAATCGATGAATCGATTAATGTATAAGAAATAATATTAAATATTGAAAATGTTACCAGTTCTGCAAAAGTTTAACTACATCATCTGTTAAACGAAGACTGAGTTGATCGAAGAGTAATAACATAGAAACTGAATATCGAGTGTCTGATGTGAAAAAGGGATCATATAAATTTTTCAGTTTATCTTTTTCGGTTATCTCTACGTCGAATTCGAAATCTAATTCTTTACAATATATTCCATCTACCCAGCAATGCTCATTCAAAGATATCGTAGACATTTTGATGTTTGGTACTTTAGGGAAAAACATACTTTTAATTATATCCGCGTTTTCAATTGGGAAAAATGTTTCCAATGATACCGAGTAACATTTGGCTGGTAGAAAATTGCAATGGCATTCTTGAAAGAAAAAAAAAAAACAAATCAAAAAAATTTAATTCGAATAATTAGATGTTTTATTTTTAAAATATTAATGTTTTAATATTATGCGTGTTAAACTTACCTTCTTCTACTCTTCTCTCACATCCAGTGGCAATAAAAAAAAAATTTAAATTAGGCTTAAACGGGCAGAATTCTATTATTCGTTTCTTTATTATTATCCACGGCGGTGGTGGTTTTTTGAATTCTCTACTACCTACAAAAACAAAAGGATTTCTTTTCTTTTTTTCCTCCTCGGCTACTTTGTTCCAAAACCTATTATGGGAAAAAATCATTTTAACGTGTATTCAAATTCTTATCACGTAAGTGCATTTAATTATCCTGTAACTACTCTTATGTTATACGATAAGCGTTATTAATTATCAACCTGTAACCTTTACAATAATTCGTATCCGTATTTTCACTTTAAATTAATTGATATTTGTGTTTGTGTATAATACAAAATTTCAAAAAATTATTATATACAAAAATTCATTTATAAATGAACAATATAAAATAAATTTGTTTGTATGATAGAAAAATTTGTAATTATTATATACAAAAACCTATTTTAGAATAATTAAAGTTTCAAATTGATATCCATTTTATATTGCAGAAGAATATTTTATTGTTAGATAAATATATAATTTGACTTAAATTATTTATTTTGATAATTAGGTACTTGATTGACTCTTTTTTAGATTTTATTATAATGCTTTTGAGAAGATTTGGCATATCTTGCGAGTTATGTCAAATTTTACTTCTCTTATAATAAAATAGAATAAATATTTTATTTCTTTTTTTTTTGCAATAAAATATAAAAAATTTGACACGGCTAATCTACATCTAAAAAGAAGAAAAAGAAAAAAAGTTATATAAAACTTGTCAGAAAACACTTTTATTTTATAGACTTTTAAACGAATTTTATTTACGTATACGTAACCCTTACGCAACCCTTAAACTTCTCGATTTTTACTTATGGCGAGTTCTCAAGAAAAGAAAGTTTATGCTAGAAAAATTACTTCGCGCGAGAAACATTGCAAACAATTACAAATGCAGTTATTCGAATTTCGAGAAAATTTCTCACCAACTATAACGTTTAATTAACTTCATTTTTAATTGTAATCAAACTTGTGCATCCGAGCACGATAATATTTTGAAATGTTTCTTATCAAAATTTCTGATCATTTTTATATTACATCATATTACATCGTTTTTAATTACCTGATAATAATATCGAAAGTTTGATAAAAAAAAAAAAACATGAAATTTACGTAAATCCGATAAAGAAAGTCGACTTTTTCTTTGTTCATTTGGCGCATGCAAAAATTTTACTTACAAAGCGTTAAAAATCTTTTTAAAAATCTTAAAAAGAATTCAGATTATTTTAGATTTAATTTTATTTTTGTTTTTAATTATTAATTATATTAGATTTATTTTATTTATTTTTAATTTAATTAAATTCATTAGATTTAAATCTTAAAATCTTCATTTTTTTGTTCTTTTTTCAAATTAAATTTCATTACCCGTTCCTGCTCCCTTCCCAAATTTTCGGACACCTTCTATATATCTATATATTTAATAAATGTTTTTTTTTTTTATAATTGTACCTGCAAACTTGAGCCGCCTGTGACAGATGTAATCCATTCAAATATTCAAACACAATTCGCAAAATCTTTTTCTCTTGGAGCGCCATTATTTTCCCAATAAAAAAGAAATGCAATATATATATTTGAAATGATCGATCAATATTATGTCAAAATATAAGCCAATATATAGTCGTTAGTCAATTCTATAATAATCTGTAAAATAAATTAACCGAATGAGTGTATTAAACACCGTATATATACAATTGTATTATATTTTCAAAATACCATGCTTACGCAACAATTTCGTTAGAACAATCATGCGATATTACCCCAACAGTGTATAACTTAAAAAACATCGTATCATCAAAAAAAAATTAATTTTATAATAACGAGTATTATTTTTGTAATAGAATACAACACAATCTATCATCAAAATACTATTTTTATTCCTTTCACATTGATATAAACTAGTATTCTTTTTGTAGTAGTAGCAGTAGTAGTAGTAATACAGTATCCTGAAAACGTAAAAATAATATTTAATTATGAGAAATAATTTCTTTTCATTTTTCTTTTTCCTATTTTAAAAAATTTATTCTAAAAAAATTGCTTGTTTATTTAATCGGCTTATATACTCGATAAAATTAAAAAAAAACACACACACACACACATAAATATTGTATATAAGAGTACAAAAAATGTATGTAGGATTATTATTTCTTATATATCATTATTATTTATTTTATATTTTTGATAAAATAATTATATTCGATGATAGAGAAATTAATTATAATGATGATATTATATACAATTCGATAATTTAACACTAAATTGGCTTTTATTAAATTAAAAAACAGATTATATATATTTAATGATATGAATTTTATGAATATGTTAAATATAATTTAACATTTTAATATAATATATTAAAATGAACTATTCCAATGACCGAAAAATAATTCGTACACTCGTCTTACTTCAGTCACTCCTCGTTCACGTCTTTTCTCAGTCCTTGCCTAAACACTTCTCCCCCATAGTTAGTTTGTTACTTATGCTATGGCGTTCTTTTTCGATGACGAACATCCGCCCACGTAATCTTCTTTCTGGCTTTTCCAGACAGTTGTCAGTCACCTATTGGCCATCAAACACATTTCCGTAGTTTCGACAATCCCCATTGGCCCTTTTTTATATTCGTCTAACATTTTTCGTTTCACATTTTCCTTCACATCCCCTCTTGACTGTCCTTCGCATCTGCATCCCCCCACCATATAACTCTGATGCCCTTTTCAAACCCATCATCATCATCATCATCCCCACTCATATTTTTCTTATGGCTTTTCTCTTCTCACCCACGTTTACGTTTCTTTTATCCCATTCATCGTCATCGTATCTTTTTTTTTTTTTTTTATTACCACGTGCTTAATAGAAATACTTGAAACTAACGTTGTGCGAAATGTATTTTTTTTTATCAATTTTATGCAAACCAATATAACATTGTTTTTATTATTAGGAGGATGCAAATGGTTTTTTTTTTTTTTTTTTTTTTTTTTTTTTTTTTTTTTTCATTTAAATACGATACAAAGAAAATTGTAGTAATATATATTATTAATTGTTCTCACGATTTTAATTTATTTTTAATATTAGATTTACTTTTTAGATTCTTTTAGAAAATTATATAATAAAATTATATGATATATTTATTTTTCTTGTGACACTAAAAAGAAAAAAAAATCGTAAAAATGAGCGGTTTATGGAAAACATTTTAAAACTGTTAGAGATCAAGGAAAGAACCTTCGAGACGGTATAGGGACAAGATAAAAGGTTCTTTCATTCTACGAATCCCTACTTCTGATGTTCTCGAAGTAAATAGAATATGATTTCAATATTTACTGTAGATATTGTCATATTATTCAAAAATCGATTTTAAATACAATTATTAAGACAACTTATATTATATAAATAATATACAAAAGAAAAAATATATTATAATTGAATATTTCGATAGATAAATTTTGAACAATTTTTCAAGCAAAGTTAACAGATTTGATTTTTGATAAATTTATTTCACGATGATTGATCGATTAAATAAACACATAAATATCTAAGGAAAATATTTATCCACTCTACCATATTCCGTTTCGTCCTGCTTTGTTTTCTTTCGTTGTTACTTTCAACAGATCAGAAGATGTGATCTTTTCTTCCAATAAATAAACCACGTGTCGCGAACGATTACGTCAACCGTTGTAGCGAATTTACATTATTTCCACAGATTTTTCTTCTCACGAATTACATTTCATCCATAAACCACCCTACTTACCGATTCTAGTAAGAAAAAATAAACTAACTTTGAGTATTTGACAAGAACGTCTACGTAAAATCGTATAAACCTCAAGATTTTTATTTCTTTAACATAAAGTTTATGCTAAAGAATTCAAGAGTATATAAAACAAAATATTTCTCGTAACTTGTAAACACAAATCCGTACTACAAAAATCATTTATTTATCACCGAACAATAATAAATGAATTCAATTTGTATAACAATTAATCGAAAAACGCTTAATTATATATATTTATTTTTGTTTGTTTAACCATACTGTCGTATTATTCGATCTCGACAAAAATTTATATTCGAAAATTACGTTTAATGTGGAAATCATATTAAATGACAAGATCCGAATTTTACATGAAAATAACAATAATAAAAAAGGGGTGGGGGGGTATATATATGCGTCAAATTTTCCTTTAAACCCCCCCCCCCTTTATATATATATATATATTATTTATTATATTTATTACATTATAAATATAATAAATATATTATATACATA